GGGGATTTAGGGATTACTGGGAGGACTCAGGGGACACTGAGGGGTTACTGGGAGCACTGGGTGGGATTTGGGGGGCACTAGGAGGGGATTTGGGGGTTACTGAGGGCACTGGGAGCCTTCACATGTTCCATGGGGTCACACATGTCCCTTGACATGTACACAGGGCCACATGTGTCCCTTCACGTGTTCCCAGGGGCCACGCATGTCCCTTACATGGTCCCACGGACACAGATGTCCCTTCACTTGGTCCTGGGAACACGTAAGGGACACGTGTGGGCTTGGGAACACGAGAAGGGACACACGTGTCTTCTGGGAACATGTGATGGGGCATCAGTGGCCCTGGGAACACGTAAGGGACACGCGTGGGCTTGGGAACATGTAAAGGGACATGCGGGTTCCTGGTGTGTTCCCAGGGCCATGCCCGTCCCTTCATGTGTTCCTAGGGTACATGTGTGTCTCTTCACATGTTCCCAAGTCCATGCATGTCCTTCACGTGTTCCCAGGGCACACGTGTGTCCCTTCACATGTTCTTAAGACCACACGTGTCCCTTACGTGTTCCCAGGGCCACCGATGTCCCTTCATGAGTTGCCGGGGACACGCGTGTCCCTTCACATGTTCCCAAGCCCACGCGTGTCCTTAGCGTGTTCCCAGAGCCACGCGTGTGTTTGCCGTGTCCCCGGGAGCCTTTGCGGCAGGAAGCGTCGCTCTCCCTCCACCATTATCCAGAACGGGCAAAAAACCATCGCCGTTTTCGGGTAAAAACCTCCCGGTTTGGGCCTAGCGTGGCGGGGAGCTGCCGGAGCGGTCACGGGGCCTGGGGGAGGGGCCCCCCCGTGAGGTTTTGGGGTGAAAAAGGGGGAGATTGGTACAATAGCTCACGGTGGGGGGAGGGGGAGGAAAATTAACTCCTTGCGGGCACAAGGTTTTGGGGTGAAAAACAGGGAAAATGGGTCGAGTCTTTTCATGAGCAGGGGTGGAAAATTAACTCGTTGTGGGGACAAGGTTTTGGGGTGGGAAAGGGGGAAATTGGGTTGGTTAATGGGGGGGGTGTAAAATTAACTCATGGGGATTGTGTTTTGGGGTGAAAATGGGGGAAATCGGGGTGATTGCTCTCAGATTTGGGGTTTTTAAATTAACGCATTGTGGGGATTGTGTTTTGGGGTGAAAAAGGGGGAAATTGGGGCAATTGCTTTCGTGAGCAAAACTGTAAAATTAATTCATTTTGGGCATTGAGTTTTGGGGTAAAAAAGGGGGAAACTGAGGTGATTTCTCTGAGATTTGGAATTTTTAAATTGCGGGGATAATATTTTGGGGTGAAAAAGGGCCAAACTGAGGCAATTGCTCTCAGATTTGGGGTTTTTTAATTAACACATTGCAGAGATTGTATTTTGGGGTGAAAAGGCAGGAGATTGGGGCAATTGCTTTCATGAGCAAAGCTGTAAAATTAATTCATTTGGGGCATTGTGGTTTGGGGGGGGAAACAGGGGAAATGGGCCAATTACTCAGAGGTATGGGGGTGCAAAATTAACGCGTTTTGGGTGAAAAAGGGGGAAATTGGGCCAATTGCTCAGAGATGTGGGGGTGTAAAATTAATGCCTTGTGGGGATTGTGTTTTGGGGTGAAAAAAGGGGAAACTGGGTTGGTTGCTCTCAGATTTGGGGTTTTTAAATTAACTCATTGTGGCAATCGTGTTTTGGGGTGAAAAGGGGTGAAAATGGGACAATCACTCTCAGGTTTGGGGGTGTAAAATTAAATCATTGTGGGAATTCTGTTTTGAGGTGAAAAAGGAGGAAATTTGGGCAATTGTTCTCAGGGGTATGGCTGCAAAATTAACCCACTGTGGGGATAACGTTTTGGGGTGAAAATGGGGCAAATTGGGACAATCACTCTCAGACATGAGGGTGTAAAATTAATGCATTGTGGGGATAATGTTTTGGGGTGAAAACACGGGAAATTGGGTCAGTTGCTTGGAGCTGTGGGGGTGTAAAATTAACTAACAGAGGGGAGTGCATTTTGGGGCAAAACTGCCTGATTTGGGTGAAAAGCCTGAGGTAGATGTTGGGGGTTTTTTTCCATTTTTTGCCTTTTTTCCCCCCAATTTCCACCCGCAGCCGCCACCATGGAGCCAGGGGAGGAGCGGCCTCGCCAAGAGCCGGGTGACAGGGACGTCCCCACGGAGCCCTGCCCAGGTGATGGGGTGGGGACATGGTCTTCTGGGGAAAAAAACACAAGAAAATGGGAAAAATATGGGGCAGGAGGTGGTCTTCTGGTGGGAATTGTCCTCCGTGGTGGAGAAAATAACGTGTAGAGATGTTCTCCTTCGAGGAACGTCCCTTTGTGGTCGGACAACGACCCAACAGAGATGTTCTCCTTCGAGGAACGTCCCTTTGTGGTCGGACAACGACCCAACGGAGATGTTCTCCTTCGAGGAACGTCCCTTTGTGGTTGGACAACGACCCAACGGAGATGTTCTCCTTCGAGGAACGTCCCTTTGTGGTCGGACAACGACCCAACGGAGACATTCTCCTTTGAGGAATGCCCCTCCATGGTTGGACAACGACCCAATGGAGATGTTCTCCTTCGAGGAACGTCCCTTTGTGGTTGGACAACAACCCAACGGAGATGTTCTCCTTTGAGGAATGCCCCTCCATGGTTGGACAATGGTCCAATAAATGTTCCTCTCCCAGGTGCCGCGACACCAACCCACAGTGATGGTCACCCACGCGGTTTCATCAACCTGCTGGGTCTCCTGGAGGAGAACCGGACACCGCCGAAGCCTTACCGTTGCACCGAATGTGGCAAGACATTCGGGCAGAGCTCCAACCTCATCGAGCATCAACGGACTCACACCGGTGAGCGACCCTTCACCTGCAGCCAATGCGAGAAGAGCTTCAGCCGCAGCTCCACCTTGGCCGAACATCTCCGCACCCACACCGGTGAGAAACCCTACGCCTGCCCAGTTTGCGCCCGCGCCTTCAGCCGCAGCTCCACCTTGACCGAACATCGCCGGACCCACACCGGCGAAACGCCCTACGCCTGTCCCGAGTGCGGCAAGACCTTTGGCCGAACCTCCAACTTGGTCAAACATCTCCGAACCCACACCGGTGAGAAACCGTACGGTTGCGGACGTTGTGGTAAGACCTTCAGCCTCAGCTCCAACTTGGTCAAGCACGAGAGGACCCACACAGGTGAGAAGCCCTTTTCCTGCGGTCAATGTGGCAAACGCTTCAAGAAGAAGACCCATTTGGCATCCCACCAACGAACCCACACCGGAGAGCGACCCTACCGATGTGGTGAATGCGGGAAAGCCTTCGGCCAGAGCTCCACCCTCATCGAACACCAGAGGACCCACACGGGCGAACGCCCTTTCCGTTGCGGCGCTTGCGGTAAGAGTTTCTGCGTCAGCTCCAATTTGGTCAAACACCAACGCATCCACACCGGCGAGAAACCCTACGGCTGCGGGCGCTGCGGCAAACGCTTCCGCTACAAACCCCAGTTCACCCGGCACTTGAAGGTCCACCCCGACGGAGATCCGGCATGTGGCCCCTAAGACAGTTGGCGAGGGAGCGGGGGGACACGCAGCAGGAAGGGATGGGCGCCAGCATCACCGTGATGGCGTCCGTCGTCATGGCTTCCTCGTTAGGGCCTGACGAAGGGGCGTGGTAGCACGGCGTGGTGTCCACCAGGTTGTGGTTGAACATGGTGTGGGGCTTCTGGTCCCACTTGGAGAGGAACCGGGGACACACTGGGGACTGAGCAGGACAGGTTGGGTGCCGACACCTCCATGCCATGCTCCATGATGGTGGCGACTTCATTAGGGCCTAACGAAGGGGCGTGGCACTTGGTGGCCCTCATGGCCTCATTGTCACCACCAGGCTACCGCTGAACCTGAACTGTGGACCTTGGGGTCACCTTTGGGGACACTTTGGGAACTTCATTGGACCAGGACAAAGCGCCAACATCTCCATGGCCATGGTTCGTCACGGTGGCATCTTCGTTAAGACCTAACGAAGGGGCGTGGCACATGGCAACATGGTAACCACCATGGTTGAACCTGGCCTTGGTCCAAGAAGAAGTGGGGACATTTTGGGGACATTTTGGGGACTCGACAGAAGAGAAGAAGGTGGTGGCATCTCCGTGGCGTCCTCCCTCATGGTGACAGTGACAGCTTCGTTAGGCCCTTAACGAAGGGGCGTGGCATGTGGGGGCCCGTTTCCTGGCACGGTGGCCACCACATTGAACCTCACCTTGGGGACCCCCCGGGGACCCCCCAGGATGGGTGGATGGGTGGGGGTGGTG